TCATCTAAAGAAACACACGCCACGTCTTTGTCCCAGGGTGGTTCAAACCTTTTCTTTAGCAATCAAGTGCTTAAAGACTGCATCACCAGGGTTTCTTCCTTACATTCCAATTGTTGGTGGTTGTTTAGTACCTTCCAGTCGGAATCGACCCATAGCTGACCCTCCAGTGAGTTTTCAGAGTCAGTAAATCACCACGGGGGAGATTGTCTATCCTTCTCCAGCAGAACAGCTGGTGGATTCCAAACGACTGCCTTTACATAGGGAACAAATAAGGAAAGTCCAAATAAGAGGTGTGCTTTGAAATAAAGAAAGCAAGGTATTTCTGGAGCTGGCATGAGGGGGGTCAGAGAAAGTGTCTCTGAGGAGGTGACATCTAAGCAGAGATCTAACTGAAGAGAGAGGATGAATCATATGATCTCCTTGGAGAAAGCCTTGAAGTCAGTGCAAACATGAGATGACAGGAAGGTCAGAAAGAAAGTATCATTCGTTCATGCATTCATTCAATGTCAGTGAAGCTCCAGCTTTGAACTACAATTACAGGCTTGGACCTCCAGAAACTTAACGCACAGAAAGACTCACAAAATATGAGTGCTACACAGTGTGGGAGGGGGCTCAAATAATCGAGTGATGTGTAGGGAAGGCATCATAGAAACCATTCTTTCAAGAGTTCATCAGTCCAAGACAGGAGGAAAGGGAAAGCATGTGCAAGGAAGACTATGCAGGAAACCAACTTGGTATTCCCAAAGAGGAAAAAGATTGGTCCCATACTCTCAAAGAATAACTAAGTCCACTGACAACTTTGTTGACAAAAATCAAGTTCTGGATCCTAGTGAATAGTGTCTGGGGTCTTAACAGCTTTTGAAAGGCATCTGAGACATAAGTACAGATCTCTACTTGCCAGGAGCAAAGTAGTAAAAGGTGGCCAAAACTCAGAAGAAACCAGGATATGTGAGCCACAACTTCATTTACCCAAAGACTGGAAGAAGTAAGTAGTGCCCAAGTAACACTACAAAGTGTTTTTTGACTGGGGTCACAATAGCTGGTGCCAGACAGAATATGAGGAAGTGGAAATATCATTAAAAACTATGTTAAAAGCCAGATAAACTAAAAGAAGAGAACAGAGGACTCCCTGACATGATTGTCCTGAGACACTCTTGAAATCTGGAACTGGTCCTATCCTCCAATATATCACCTTTTTGTAAAATAGCAATTGTTGATTGCCTTCGAGTCCAGCATGACTCATAGCAACCCTATGAACAAAAAGGCCTGAAGCCCCTCTACAGCTATCAACATTTAAGTTCATAAGGTTTCTGGAGGCATGTTATTTAGGGATTGGATGTCACTCTTGCTTCCAAATCTGTCATAATATGTTGTTATATGCCATTTAAGTCACTTACAATGTATAGTGATCCTATGCACAGCAGCTCTGAACCTTTCCTCGTCCTGAGCCAGTCTCACTAACTCCCAACACACCAACTCCCCTCACCCCAGTAATTATAGCAATCCATCTCATTCTGGGTCTCCCTCTACTGCCCTGTCTGTCCACCCTTCTGAGCATGATGTCCTTCTCCAAGGACTGATCTCCCCTGGCCATGTTGCCCAAAGTAAGTGAGGCGAAGCTTCAAAATCCTAGCCTCCTAGGAAAGACTTGGCTTCACCCTCTCCAAGACAGATCTATTTGTTTTCTTGGCTGTCCATGGTATGTTCAAGACCCTTCTCCAGCACCACAATTCAAAGGCATTTATTCTTCTGTCATCCTTAGTCATCAGCATGATATTTAACCTGGTAGGGGAGAGATACCATGATCAAGATGGTGGTTTTCTCAGGGTGAGGACCACCCCTTAACATTCCTGATGTGCTGACCTCTGTAATTATTTCCCCAAATGTGGGAAACTAGGCTGCATAATTTATGGTAGTGGGGAACTGCATTAAAGGAGAAAAAAAAAACCCACCCAAACACAACCTCAAAACAAACCAAATTATCAGCATGAGGCCAAATGGTCAATAATTACTCAGGAGCAGAGATGAAAAGATAAGGGGGCAGGGAAATAGAGTACCAGGAAAGGAGCAAATAAAATACAATTAAAGAGAATGCTGATACATTATGATAAATATAATTAATATCACCTAACAATTTGTGTGAAAATAGCCAAATGAGAATCTCCTTGTATAAACTTTCATCAAAACAATGCAAATATTTTTAAAAATAAGACTGGGTTCTTTTGGGGTGGAAAGAGAAGGTGAAACATTCTTTTTCTCAGCATTAAGCAGCCACAGACCAGAGCTAACCCCAACACTAGCCTGAGCTATGCTAGGTAGACTCTATAAAGTTTAACTCTGTGACGCTCAGTGCTGCAGAGGCACTCCTCTGAAGCCCTGAGAAGTTGACAGTTAAACTGAGGCCCAGAGAAGTTGAACAACTTACTCAATGTCACACAGCAGAGTGTAGGCTTGAGTCAGTACACTCATCCTCCTCCTACCTCCCCCGCTGCCTCTCTAAGACCCCCAGTCCCACAGACTTGAACATCTTAGGCGAAGTTGGCTGGGACTGGGCGTGAGTGTGAGAAGCAGAGTTATTTCAGGCCTCAGGAGGGCTGTGTGCTGCCTTGGAGTCCAGCCAGTGGGTGGGGGTGACAGCAGGCAGGCGTTGTGGTGTAGTGTGGGAGTGCACTGTCTCCACCTTCTTGTCAGGCAGTCATTACTCAGGCTGCTGAGTAACTCAGGCAGAGAGACCCCCATAGACAAATGGGGGTGTCCTCACGGCCCAAGATAAATGATAAACAGCAGGCCTCAACACCTTGGGGGAAATGATGACACCAGCCCTTAATGTCCAGTTCTCCTGCATACTATGTTCTTTCCCAACCAGAACAGCTCATTCAGATTATGGGGCAGTGCCACAGGAGGTGGGGACCTGCCAACGGGCCCCAAGCCCCTGGCAAGGGTAAAGTCCTAAAGGGTAGAATTCCAATCTTCTCCTTAGAACTCTCAGCTGCTGCCTGAGCGAATGCTGATTATAGGACGGACTTCTCCTTTTTTAAAATTTTATTTTATTATTTTTTGTATGTGTATCGTCAAATTGGATCTGACTGGTACAGGAGGAGATTGTCCTTCCTTCTCCAGCAGAGCATATGGTGGATTCGAACCACTTACCTCTGGTATTACAGTGCAGCTTCTTGCCACTAGGCTACCAGAGTTTTCTAGAATGGACTTTTGATATTATGTGCCATTGAGTTGATTGAGACTTATAGTGACCCTATGAATAACAGCTCTGACCCCTGTTCTACTCTGCCATCTTCACTATCTCTTACATACATACTTGAGTCCATGGTTACAGTGTTAATCCAGCTTGTTGAGGGTCTTTCTGTGTTAGGCTGACCTGCCACCTTTCCAAGTATGATGTCCTCCTTCAAGGACTGGCCCCTCCTAACACCATGCCAAGAGTAGGTGAAAGGGAGTTTCATCATCTTTTCCTCCAAGGAGCACACTGGTTTCACTTTCTCCAAGGCAGATCTGCTTGGCAGTCCATCTTCAACACTACAGGTTAAAGGCATCAATTCTTCTTCTGTCAAACTTAGTCACTGTCCAACTTTCAGATGCATAGCAAGTAATTGAGAAGACCATGGGTCAGGCACACCTTGGTCTTTAAACTGACATTGCTTCTGATGAGCCCAGTGGTCTTGAAAGGGGAAGGCCTGGGCACATATAAGAATTAAAATATTGCACCCTGAAGTTCCAGAAAGCCTGAGAGAGCTGAGAAAATCATTTAGACTGTCATTAAGCTTGTTGTGGCAGTTTACTGTGGAGTTGTAACTGACTCAAAGCTGACCCTCCAGCAGGTTTTCAAAGTCAATAAATCACATGGGAGAAAATTGCCTATCATATCTGATGGGGCAGCTGGTGGATTCGAACAGAATGTCTTTGGACTGAGAAGGTATTTTCCTAGAATCTATGTTAGTCACATTACTGCCCAAAGGGAACTTGTGCTAAGGACCAGAGCAGACCCCTTCTGGTTCACCCTTCCACTGCTCACTCTTGTTTTAACTTCTCCTTGCACTTTAATTAGGGATTTCCAAGCAAGGAGGGCCTCAGGGGGAGCCTGAGGCCACAGAGCTGCCTTAAAGAGCCAGCTGTGCTCACTGCACGCTGCAGAGAGGAAGATGGTGCCAGGGGGCTGGGTAGGCAAACGGCCCCGGACCATTGCTCTATGGGGTTGACCTAGCTGGAGGCCAGCCCTGCAGATAGCTTGCTCTTTCAAAGGTCAAGGCTACTTCACTCGCTGCCCTGCTTTCTCTTTAGTGTCCCAAGAGCCCAGGCTAGTGATCAGGAGAAAGATTTCCCTACGTTTCAGGGGCGGCTTTGGCCAGATAACCCATCAGGACGAATTTAGACAAATCTCTGTCCTCAGACTGCCCCACCCTCCCAGCAAAGCGCCTTCAAGCTTGGCGCCTTGTGCGCTGGGGCTCCTGGCACGTAAACCTGGCCTCTAAAGGTGACAAAGATACTATGGCGCTCTGAGAATCCAAGACTCTCAGCCTGGATCTGGGTTGGTGGGTGCTGAGTTCTGTCTTGTCCAAGTAGCAGGGGCCTCTTGAGGGAGGGAATGTCGCTCCCCCAACACGTGGAGTACGCCTGGTTGACCACTGCTTACTAGGAGGGGAGAGAGGTAGGGAGCTGAAGGGAAACCTGGCGGGTGCCCCCTATTCGGACCCTCACAATTCCGCAGGCCCGGAGTCAGCATGGGTTCGGGAATGCGGGAGTGGGGGGAGAGGGAGCCTGAGTGGCCGAGAGAGCGAAATGGCTTTGGTCAGGGACCGCTAGGGGCTCTCTAGAGTCCCGACCTTCTGGGCGGAGAAGAGGCCCATTGCAACCCCGCCCCTCTTCTCCTTCTTGGTCTCCACCCAGTCTCCGCCCCTTGCTGATCAATCGGCGATTGATTGTGATGCCTACGCTCTCCGCGATCCTCTAACACTGTCTTTTTGGTCCCCACGTGGGTTGGCTGGTGATGGAGGAGTTGGCTGTTTCTGAAGCGGCGAAGCCAGGCGGCCGAAGCGGCCCTGGCAGAGGTGAGTGTTGAAACTCAGCGGCCTCCAGGCCTTCAATCTCTGGCTGGGACCCTCAGATCAAGGGCAAGATCCTTTAACGACAGTGGCGTTCTCCCCAGCAGACCCGGAAGTGTGCGCCGTCACTGACTTTAAGCGACTGTCATCTGGAGCCCAGGGAAGCTGGTCTCGTTTTGCAGCCCTAGGATTGGATTGGGAGTGACACTCCCTTGGAGCTTGTAGTTCCTAATCCAGAAACTGCCCCCTGCTTTGGCTGTCAGACAGTCGCACGAAGACTCAGAGAAATATGGACCCGTTGGGACCTGGCCTGTTGCAGCAGTCACTCCAGAGTGGGCCTTTAGGGAATGCTTTCAGAGAAGATGCTCATAATTTCATTCACCAGGCACTTACTGAGCACAGGTTGTATGCCAGGCCTGCGCTAAGTGCAGGGACTAGAATACAGCCGCTGTCCTCATGGGCTTCACGGTCACCTGGGGAATATAGATGTAAACAGATGATCACAGCCACATGATAAAGGAGGAGGCGCCATTCCCCAGTCCCACTGAGCACTGGGGACCTCTTAAGCTGCTAAAGCTAGCAGATTCTGCAATCCAAGGTCCTCAGAGGATTTGGACCTGGTGGAGGGAGGTTCTGTGAAAGGGAGTCTGAGCTGGTGGTCCCAAGGCCTCTGAAACAAATGGGCAAAAGCCATTGCAGTGGTAGCATTCAAATCTCCGACGCCCAACCTGCTGTGCTAACCTTCCTTAGTTGCCCATCCACCCCTCCACTCTCACATCCATTCCCAGTGGATGAAGGCATAGGTCTTCCAGGATCTCCTATCATAGTCAGAGGCCTAGCACAGATTATAACACATAGTATGGACTAAATTATTACCTTGTACCATTCACAAACTATCTGGCTCATAAGAGATAACGAGTTTAAATGCAGGGACTGGAATGAGTCCAGATAAAGAGTTGCAGCCTTGCTAAAGAGCTATGTTTCCCCCTTAATGTTTTATATGTTTGAGTTAGCACCAACTCATAAATGACCCTCCCGTGGGTTTTCAGAGGAAGCAAATTGTAGGAGAGGATATTCTGCCCATCTTTCTACCACAGAATGGATGGTGGATTTGAACCATATGCATTCGGGTTGGCAGCCCAACTCATTATCACTAAGCCACCATAACTCTTCCACTTAAGAAGAGGATTGTATTTGCATATCTCTATTTGACTCTTTTAGTCTCTGTCACCTAACGGATGAATTAACTTTTCTGCCTTTAGCTGCTGTGTTGTTGTTTTTTTTAGTGGAAGCTTTTTTCTTCTTTTTTATAAAAATATTAATTATGACTTTAACAAAACTTTACAGAAAACTTGGATTTCCATTCATTCATTGTTGCACATTTCCTTCATACTCACCTCCAGTTCACTTTTTTTGAAAAAAAATTAATTCATTCTTGCATAATTTCCTTCCCCCCTCCACCTCTTCCAGACCACTTTGTTGTACACCTCTTATTCTGGACTGCTGTCATGCAAATAATGTCTAATCATATATTCTTTTTATATGATTGTTTCCCTAATCTGCTCCAATGCAGTGTTCATTATTTATCCTGCTTTTCTCAGTTTTCTTTCAAACCCCATGTCAGTTCTCCTCTACAAAAGTGGCATTATGCTGTTATGTGTCCTTTTGTGACTGAGATACTTCACTCAGCATAATGTCCTCCAGGGTCACCCATTTTGTATATATTATGAGTTCCTTGTTTTTCAGCACTGCATACTATCATCTCTATCCATGAATTTGTTGATGGGCACTTAGATTGCTTCCATCTCTTTGATATTGTGAACAACACAGCAATAAACATGGTTGGGTATCTGTTGGGTGGCAGTTCTGGTTTCATTAGGGTATATTTCCTGTAGTGGCATTGCTGGGCCAAATGGTATTTCTATTTTCAACTTTTTGACAAAGCACCATCCTGCCTTCCCTCGTGGTTGCACCATTTTTACACTCCCACCAAAAGTGAATAAGGGTTCCAATTTCTCCATAACCTTGCCAACATTCGTTGTTTGCTGCTGCTCTGTTGAGTTTTGCTATTGTTACTGGGGTGAGAAGATATAGTTATTTTGAACTGGCTGGTATTCTGACTGTTGTTGACTCTTCTGACTACAGCATGTTTTATTCTATCATTGGAGGTGGGGATGTAATAGAACTAAGAAACTGTTGTTGTTGTTGTTGTTGTTAAGTGCTGTTGAGTCGCAGGCAACTCATAGCGACCCTATGAAGGAGAATCCTCAATGCTTGGGTGTCTCTCATCCTCTCTCCAGGGTCAGGTTTCCAGAGGCAAGCTATTACAGAAGTGGAAGCCACTTCTCCTTCCAAGCTTGTTTTAATGGGGAGCTCCAACCCACTCTCTGTCCACATTAACACATTTGACACATCAGTGTCACAGTTTTCAGCCTCACAGCAACCACAAGTTACCGCTGTACGGCAACTTGTACATCAGGGCTATACCACCTAGAGGAATGTCTGAACAAAAACAATGAAAGACTGGCCCGAGGGCTGCAGATTAAAAGTCACCCACCTTCGGCTTGGTAGCATCGCCTTCTGTCCACTGGGCCAGCTGATCTCTCTCTCTCTGTTGATGTTATTGTTGTTAAGTGCCGTCGAATTTCAGGCGACTCATAGTGACCCTATGAAGGAGAGTCCTCAACGCTTGGGTGTAAGAAACTACTACAGTTAAATATATATTGTCTATTTTCATTTTAAATTTAAATTAAGGAATTAACCAATGTGGGCATGAGCAGTAGGACTCAAGTAAGAACAGTTCTTAAAATGATTGCTCATACAGTTTATGTACAATTTCATGACTGGGCCCTCAAAACTTTGAGATGTTCACCGGGGTGAAAGGGTAGGAAAAGCATCTTCCTAGACTAGTTGAACTGCCGTGAAGTCTGGTGACCTAGTGGATGAGGAGTTGTCCTGCTAACACTAAGGCAAGCAGTTCTACCAGCTGCTCTGAGATGGGCTAGAAAAATCTAATAACCTTACCAACTCAATAGGTCCTCTTGTGTGGTTGATATCCTTTGTATGAGTAAGTTCTAATGTGAAGGCAGTAAAAGAGAGTTGAGCTGCCTACATCCTTGAGTTTTCCACTGGGTTGTTACTAAGTAGAAATTGTGTGGTTCTAGTAACTTTCTCAAGTCTGGTGTTGCCTGAATTCTTCTAAGGTAAGGAGCGAGCCATATTCCATTGATAGTCTCTTTTATTTATGATGACTTTACAACATAGAAATTAATTATGCAGGCTTCTTTCTGGGTTAATGGATTGACCCTAGTTTTAAGACAGGGAAGAAAGCTGGGCCATCCCCCTTGGCATGCAAGTAGGATTTGGGCCACTGGAGTTAAAAGCTTACTTGAGTCCTGCTGTGGTCTAGGCCAGATGCTAGCTAACTCAGGCCTTATGTTCATCCTAGGTCGGACTCCTCGTGGCCGTTTAGCCAATCAGATCCCCCCTGAGATCCTGAACAACCCCCAGCTGCAAGCAGCCATCCAGGTACTGCCTTCTAACTACAACTTTGAGATCCCCAAGACCATCTGGAGGATCCAGCAGGCCCAGGCCAAGAAGGGTGAGCTCTAAACTTTGAGTTGAGGGGTGTACAAAGGGAAGTTGCCTTGTCTAGCCAGGGTACAGTGTAGCCATCTCACCTTCCTCCCAGCCCTCTGCCTCTCATGTCTCTGCTGTGTCTTACAGTGGCTTTGCAAATGCCTGAAGGCCTCCTCCTCTTCGCCTGCACGATTGTGGATATCTTGGAAAGGTGAGGCAATTGCTGGCCCTAGAAATGAAGCTGGATTAACACCCTCCTTATGGCATCAAAGCTCTATTCGCATACATTCCCCCCCCCCTTTTAAACTTCTATTTTCCCACCCCTAAATTCCCAAACACAAAAAGAAAAACCTCCTGGGATCCTTGCTTATCTGTATAAATCACCCTTCCTTAGAAAAAAAAAATGGGATAGAGGTTAATTCCAGTGTCTTCAAACTGGGGCTAGAGCAGATAATGGGCCCTGGAGAGGAGCCTCAGAATCCCCAGAGCAGACCCTAGGATGGGCTGAATGGTGAGCACAGAATCTAACTGGGGTCTCCTTTTCCTTTGGCACATGCAGGGGGAGGATAGGTTTAGCAGGAGAAGGGTGCCTAGGAGAAGGTGTTCAGTTCCTCCACTCCCCTCCTTCTAAGTTTCTTCAGTACAGTGAGCCATCCTTGGGGAGGAGGGAGAGTACCAGCCATCTGGAACCTGCACAGGAGCCAGAAGGGGAAATGAAGAGAGGAGAGGTCATCACTAGATGGAACCTCCCACTTCCCTGCTGCTGCCCTTCCCCCACCCGGCTCAGCATCCCTTTGCTGCCACAGACTAACTTCCCTGCTCCCACCCTCTTGCCCCTTGGGGATGCTCTCTGGGGCTTGGGCCAATTTGCATACATTTTAATCTATAAAAAATTAAGTGCTCCAACTGACTCAGATGCCTGGGCTGCATTCTAAGGAGCTGAATAATCTGCTTCTGTGCACAGCCTGATTTGGGGAATGGGGTGGAGGAGGGCAGTTGGTTGGCAGTAGCTGGGCTGTTTCCTCCACCACACCCCCTGGGAGGAATGAGGGGACCCCAGGTGCTCAGCAGGGCTCAGGCAAGGGGTGGGTCTGTTCTAGGAGGAGTTGGTCTTCTTGCTCCACTTCTGTGACAAGTCAGGAGGTGCAGGGACTTCCCTCCCCACCCCCATCCCCAGTGATTCAGGCCTGGCAGTGGATCCCCTAGCAATGTGCTGGCCAGAACCCACTCTTCCTGACACATGAGGTGGGTAGGCGGTGCCATGTGCTGTGGGGGAGTTGTGCATAGGTACCCCTATTCTGGGCAGTAAAGACCCTGCCTGATGGTGGGGAAGTGCCAGGGGGTAAGGGCCAGAGGGGAGGCTGTATGTACCTCCATACCCATGACCCCCCAGACTGTAGTGTTAGAAAGTGGGAGTAGGTACTTCTGCATGAATGCCCAAGTATGGATTCTTGGCTTTGCATGGAATGGGTCCAGGTATCTGCAGGTCCTTGTGGTCACTGTTTAGTGCTAGGTGCCAGCCAGAGGGTTGAGGGCCCTCTTTCAGCCTGAGTTTGGGCAGAGGAATCAGGGTGTCCTAGAGACCATGCTTGTACAGCTACAGTTCCAGGAGCGGCTACCAGGGCTGAGGGAGGTGGCAGCTGGGCCCCTCCCACTCATGTTGGCAGAAGTGGCAACTGCCAACCTAATCAATCAAGAGAGGGGGAGAAGAGCTGGGCCCTGAGACCCCTCCACAGGGTTAGCTCTCTCTCCCATCTCCTTACATCACTTCCTCCTCCCCCAGGTTCACAGAGGCTGAAGTGATGGTGATGGGTGATGTGACCTATGGGGCTTGCTGTGTGGATGACTTTACAGCAAGAGCCCTGGGAGCGGACTTCCTGGTACACTACGGCCACAGCTGCCTGGGTATGACAGGCACATGGACCTGGGAGGGCTAGAGGTGGGGAAGAGTGGTGCCCTGATCCAACCTCCATCACCATGCCTACCCTGCTTGCAGGCATGAGGTCTTTGCTGGTTTCCTGGATGGCTTGGGTCTTCCTACTCTGCAGGTGGACTTTCTTTTGGATTTGATTGTCTTGGAAACCATGCTACTGTCCCAGATGCCAGTGTTTGAAAGGCTGTTGGTGGTAGAACAGGCTAGGCCCTAGGGACCAGTGATACACTCCCAACCTCCTCCAGACTAGGCCCTCTGCTCCCCCTGACTTCTGAAACAAAGTTTCCTGAATTCTTGTCTCCTCCTAGTTCCCATGGACACTTCAGCTCAAGACTTACGAGTGCTGTACGTGTTTGTGGACATCCGAATAGACACCACGCACCTTCTGGACTCTATCCGCCTCACCTTTCCCCCTGCCAGTGGCCTTGCCCTGGTCAGCACCATTCAGTTTGTGTCAACCTTGCAGGTGAGTGGATGTGAGGATGCTCAGCATCCACTGGGCAGACAGTGACTAGCCTCCAGCTGCTTCCAGATTGCCATGCCATGTGTTCCAGATTGCTCCCCAGCCTGACTTTCCTTTCCCGGCCCCTTGGTTCTCTTTGCTTGTTATCCCCACAGGCAGCTGCCCAGGAACTGAAAGCTGAGTACCGGGTGACTGTTCCACAGTGCAAACCCCTGTCTCCTGGGGAGATTCTGGGATGCACATCCCCTCGACTGCCTGAAGAGGTGGAGGCTGTTGTGTAAGTTAGAAATGAGGATGTTCATGAAGCCATAAAAAATCAAACCTAAGAGAGTTTGAGATTCACCTTACAGGAAAGGAAACTGAGTCTTAAGCTCTTTAGCCATTTGCCTAAGGCCACACTGTAAGTCAGAGACAAAATAAGGACAAGAATTTGGATTTTCCTCCCTCTTCTGTGCTCTGTCCACCAACTAGAAGGTTATGCTCAGGATGGGGCAGGAATCAAAAGGTTTAATGGAAATATGAGGGTGGGCTGAATTGGTGAGAATATAATTGGAGAAGATGGATGGGCACGCCCAGGCTGCAGCCCCATTAATTTAGCATCCGGACAGCTAACAAGCAGGAGCAGTGTGTCTCCTGCCACCTAATTATTTTAGGTAATGGAAATGCTTAATGTTGTGTGAATGCAGCCAGCCTCAGAGCCGACAGCTCCCCCAGCTGGGATTGGGGAGGGGAGCGCTGTTCCTGCTAATGGCAGGAAGGGAAGGCTGGGCACTCCCTGACTCAGCTCCACCTCTGAGGCTGTGGAAGCTGGTCCCAGAGGGTGGTCCTTGGCTGCACCCACACAGGATACCCCTGCCCCTAGATAAACCCACTGGAGGGCCTTCCGCAGCTCAGCGCTGGCACCCTGCTCCCCAAGGGACATTCTGCCAGTGTCTGACCCTGCATGACACTAAGCTCTTAAATGTCTAACCTTGAGGCTTTAAGAGTGTATTGGAGGGAAGCCCACCATGAGGTCTGATTATTCATCACAATGAGGCAAGGGCTCCAGGATGGAGCTGCCACAGGCAGATTACTTTCTGTGTCTTGGACTCTTTGTAGGCTGGGTGGTACTGTCAGGGACAGCATCTTTTTTTTTCTCTCCTAGAGCATGCTTAGTATAGTATAGTCATTAAGCCTGGAGTCAGACCCAAATTCAAGTCCTAGATGCACTGCATGATAGCTATATAACTTCAGGCAAATTTTTTGTTTTCCCTGAGTCTCAGTTGTGTCTTTGTTAAAATGAAAGTACATATGGACCTCTTGGAGAATTTTTTTTGTGGCAAGAGTGAAGTCGTACACATCAGACACTTGTGTGGGCCTCGGATCCAGAGGGTGCAAGTCTATTAAGTGGTAACTGTTGTTACCACTTAGTAGATCTGAGAACTAGTTCGGGGATAAGAATAACCAGTGTACATCCTGAAACCTCCTTTACTACACTTCCTGCACACTACTTCTGTACAGGGAGAACCTGCCCCCTTCCTACAAATTAAGATCTCCAGCATTCCAGGAGGCCTTACTGTGACCTTGACCTTTTACTCTTCCCTGAGAAGTTGGGGATGGCCAATCTTAGATTCTGCATTACATCATTAGAAGGACTTTAGCATCATCCAGTTCAAATTCCTCATTTCACACGTGAGAAAACATAAAGCCCCAAGAAGTGAAATGATCACTTGTCATATTATTTAGCAGCATAGATCTCTGGGCCCCAAACCAGAGTTGTGGTTTCCTTTCTGTCACCTACAGTTATCTTGGAGATGGGCGTTTCCACCTGGAGTCTATCATGATTGCCAACCCCAATGTCTCTGCTTATCGGTATGTGCTGAGCTGGGTTTACTAGCTGGGAGGGAGTGCATCTGCTGCCAGTGATCTTTTGCTTGGCCCTTGATAGCCCTGAATCCTGAGGGTAAGAGGCCCTTAGACTCAATCTGGAACTCAAACCAGCCCATGAAGCTCCTGAGATTGACACTGAAATTCTAAAACCCTCCTGTACACATGGCTGCCCCAGTTGTGGGACTACGCTCCCCCAGGATAGTTCTTGTCTGCACCTGTTTCCAAGTTACCTACAGCAGCAGAATCAGAAGAGAAATGGTGCCTGAAGACTCAGGAGCCGGTGGGGAGAGAAGTGCAGCAATGAATAAATAGAAATCCAAAATCTCTGTAAATGTTCATTGAAATGTTTAAAAAATATTAAAATTTTTAAAAAAGTGAGTGAAAAATCAAAAAAGTGAATAAAAACAAAAGATTTGAAATTTAAAAAAAAAAAAGACTCAGGAGCCCAGGGAGCTGAGTGAGGGAGCCAGGTGTAAAGTGGAAGTCCTGTAAGAGGCTGTCACATTGATCTTGCCAGGTTCTTTTCCAGGTATGACCCATACAGCAAAGTTTTATCCAGAGAACACTATGACCACCAGCGCATGCAGGCCACTCGCCAAGAAGCCATAGCTACTGCCCGCTCAGCTAAATCCTGGGGCCTCATCCTGGGCACGTTGGGACGCCAAGGAAGTCCAAAGATCTTAGAGGTCAGAAGGCTCTGGACAGCCTCTGGAGGAGAGGACTGACTGAAAGTCTAGCTAGGAAAGATCAGTAGGCCAGAGGAGCTCCTTTTGATCATGTTGACCCTAGCCTTGTCCCCCTCTCTCAACAGCACCTGGAATCTCGGCTCCAAGCGTTGGGACTTCCCTTCCTGCGGCTGCTGCTCTCAGAGATCTTCCCCAGCAAGCTTAGTCTGCTTCCTGAGGTGGATGTGTAAGTTTCATCATTTCCCTAGCTTTGAGCTTGGCTAAAGAAGTTTATAAGCTTGGGTCCTGCCCAGGACACACAAAAGACTGGAGTCAATGTGAATTGCTTTCATGGAGATGGAATCTGAAGGTTGACTGAGCACCTGCTCAACTAGTGGTCAATCACACCTGCACTGTCTGGCTAGAGCTCTGAGCTAGTAGCGTCACAGTTGTTTTGTCTGAAGTGGAGGCATGACTGGCACCTGTACCAGTCTCGGCATCAAATTTAGTTCTGAGGATGCCGACGCCGAGGAGCTGCACTGACCCTGCCCACAGAAAGTTCAGTCTGTGAATGAAACTGCCAGCAAGAAGCAGTATAGTGTTACTCTAAACAGGATTTGTTTTGTTTGTTGAGTACAGTGGAGTTGGAATCTGACGCTCCTACAGGTTTTCCAACACAGTTATTCACTTGAAAGGAGATTACACATCCTTCTCTCACAAAGCAATTGGTAGATTCAAACGGTGTGCCTTTGGGATTGCCACTCAGGTTCTTAACGGTAAGGCTGCCAGAGATCCCTAGACAGCAGTACGTGACAGTTTTTATTTAAAGTAGTAATCAGTCGTAAGGTGTGTTACAGACACAGTCATGTTTTTCATTAAGACCCCCTGCACAGAAGGATCCCACCTGCTTTCCTTTGCAGGTGGGTGCAGGTGGCATGTCCACGCCTCTCCATTGACTGGGGCACAGCCTTCCCCAAGCCACTGCTGACACCCTATGAGGTAATACACAACTGTGCCCAAATTCATGGGGGTGAAAGGCCTGCTGGAATGGAGTGGGTGGGTGGGCTGCATTCATAGTTACTGACCTTTCTGTAATATGAGGATAACAGCCATCCTGAAGGGTGAGAGCAGAATTCAGTAACATGCAGAAAATTTTAGTCTTACTGTCCACTTCTCCCCAAGGCGGCCGTGGCCCTGCGGGACATTTCCTGGCAGCAGCCCTACCCCATGGACTTCTACGCTGGCAGCTCCCTGGGGCCCTGGACTGTGAACTACCGGCAGGACCGGCCCCCCAAGACTCCCGACGGGACAGCAGGAGGGAAGGTGGGCGGGGCTCCCCATCTTAAGCCGAAGCCGCCGCCCTGCGGCCTGGACGAGAAATGCAGTGGACCGAGGCCGGGGACTGCGAAGCGAAACCTTAACCAAAGTGTGTGTCCCCCCAGGTGCAGACAGGGGCCTTGTGCGCCTCTCCAGCCGCGGGCTGTGAAAGTTGCAGCTGCAGAGACGATCCAGGGGTGCAGCTCGCTCCCTGAGACCCCAGGTACTACTCCCTCCCTGCTTTGGGCTCCTCGTTGTCATGGAAACACTCGTTGGCCCGCCCCTAGTACGGGTCTACATTTGGGCCCGCCCTTCCCATGCTGCTTCCGCTCGGGGAAAGGGCGCTTCCGGAGGCTCTGTGGATCGCTGCCCGGCAGCATGGCGGTGCGGCCGCCTCTGCGCGTGCTGTGCTTGGCGGGCTTCCGGCAGAGCGAGAGGGGCTTCCGCGAGAAGACGGGAGCGCTGAGGAAAGCGCTGCGGGGCCGCGCCGAGCTCGTGTGCCTCAGCGGCCCGCACCCGGTCCCGGGGAGCGCTGCGGGCCCCGATGGTGCCGGGCCAGACCCGGGTGAGACGAGCCCTGCCCCGGAAATGCTCTCTGCGTTCTCCATCTTACCTGCACTCCCGACCCCACGCCCACGTGTTGCCCACCCGCTTCTGTCCTCCCTTTTTAAATACTGTCCTTTCCTTTCCAGCTCTGCAGTCGACCCTCCCGCACTTAAGCTTACCAACCACTTCATTACCCACGACTGACTTCTCCCCCCACCAGCGGCCTCACCTTTTCACCCCCTGGCCCTTCTTCACCTCCTAGACCCTTTAGCCTAACCCATACTCTTCCCCCATGTCACTGCAGGTTCCTGCCCTCCGGAGGAGCAGCCCCAAGGCTGGTGGTTTTCAGAGGCCGCAGCCGTTTTCTCCGCGCTCGAGGAGCCCACGGTGTGCAGGGGTCTGCAGGAAGCCCTGGACACCGTGGCACAGGCACTGAACCAGCAAGGACCTTTTGATGGGCTCCTTGGTTTCAGCCAGGGGGCAGCGCTAGCAGCTCTTGTTTGTGCCCTGGGCCAGGCTGGGGATGCCCGCTTCCCGTTGCCAAAGTTCATCATCCTGGTGTCTGGTTTCTGTCCCCGGGGCGGTGAACTCCAGGAACCCATCTTGAAGGCCCCCTTGGCACTCCCTTCGCTTCATGTTTTTGGGGACACTGACCGGGTCATCCCCTCTCAGGAGAGTCAGCAGCTTGCTAGTCAGTTCCCTGGTGCTGTCACCCTCAACCACTCTGGTGGCCACTTCATTCCAGCTGCTGCACCCCAGCGCCAGGCCTACCTCAAGTTCTTGGACCAGTTTGCACACTGAAAGGTCAACAAGAGACTCTGGCTCCCTATTCCTTCTCCTAAAAGCACTGGGACATAAGACCTTAGGGAAGCTTTTAAATTTTTTTTGTTGGTGGTGGTATGTATCACTGAGAGCCGACTAGCACAGGAAGAGATTGTTTCTCTTTCTTCAGCGGAGCATGGTGGATTTCAACTGGACTCCTTTGGGATTGCAGCACAGCTTTTTGCCATTAGGTCACCAGAGCTCCCTTTTAGGGCAGATCTTTTATGGCCTATACTTTGTCTGTCTTCTTAACTGGAACTGCTGTTGTTACTGCCCCTCACTATGACCAAATAAGAGGCAAATGGCAGTTCCCAGGGTTTGCTCTGCATTTCAGAAAAGCAAAAGGCCTTAAAGAACACTTTGACTTTCTGATGTGCAAGCATGGAAAAGGCCCAGTGGAACTTTGAGAGGAGGGTGGCATGGAAAAAGCAAGGCTTGGCACCAGTTTGAGCATCCTTTTTTTCTTGGAAACACACACCAAAGCCATTAAATAGTGGAAGTCTTGCATCCTGGCCATTCCCCAGCTTGTGGGGAGCACCAAATAAAGTGTACTAGTTGTGAACCCCCAGGACAAATGTTTATGTGTATAGATATGTACACGTTTTTGATGGAAGTCTTAAGGAAAGGAGAAAGAAAGAAGGTTTTATGTTGGAGAATATTTTTGAGAAGACTGCGCCTAACAAGGATCTGCGGAGGCTACATGACTGCAGGCTTACCTCCAACCTTTGCTGCTTTTGTTCTGTACGTTCTTCCACAAGTTCACTAGTCTTTCTGAACTATGACTTTAGAGGGTAAGATGTGACTTTAGATAAAGACCAAAGACAGAACAAAATGGTCTGCCTGACCCATCTGGAGGATTTCTGAAAACCACACACTCTAGAGACCACAGCCAGAACACGAACTGCACTGCTGGGTTGCTTTTAGCATTGTGAAGTTAGTGTTGAGTCAGAACTGAGTCACAGAGCTGACCCTGGAGAAGGTTTTTAGAGGCTATGGATTGGCTAAGAGGATATTGCCTATTTTTTTCCTGCAAAATAGCGGGTGGATTCCACCTGCCTTGCAACCCTTATCCCCTAGGGCACCAGAGCTCTCTAGTTGCTTCCTTGGCACAGTAATAATTGCCCATCCTGGCCTTTTTCCTCCAGTGCTCCTCCCACCCACCCAAGCTACTCATTTATTTACTTTCTAGTAGATAGTGTTAAGCCCACAGTTGAGAAACTGACCAGATACTACTAGGGTTTAGTGTACTGAGCGTAGACATTCTTAAGGTCTACCATGAGATAACCACACTAATTGATACTTCTAATTCACTCGAGATTGTGAGTCCCTAACTACAGGCAGTCTCAGAAAAGAAGCTGGAGCCAGGGACATTACCCAGAGGTTCAGATTACTTGCTTAGGATCTTTATAGCAGAAAGTCAGGGGGAGTGTTCTGCTTGCTACAACCTACTCCTGTACTGCTTTTGGTGTTTAGATGAGTGAGCCCTTGACAAAAGGAAGGGACTCAGAAATTGACTGAATTCTTCCTACAGAGTATTAAATTTGGTCTATAAGGTTTTAGGAAAAGGTTAGTTGCTATTATTTAAATGTGTAGAAATATGAGACATTGACATTTTGGCTTCTTCGGAAATGACTGCAGCTCAGGGACCACTACTGGTCTCAACAGGTGAAATGACTTACTGTACTCCCCCAATTACAACAACCTAATACTAAACCAGACCTTAAAATGGGAAAGGAAAAGCTGTTTAGAGGAAGTGCTTAGGCTTGTGAATTCTGTTTGTAAGGAAATGATCATGTGGTCATATTCCCAACAAATGGGATGTCACCTCTGGTCACATATTCCATGAGTCTGAGGATTCTGTCTGTGCCTTTCCCCCAACCCCTACTCTTATTACATCCGAATTATCTGTTAAATGAAGGGTCAATTCCAGACCTACTCAGTCAGGATCAGCTAAGGCGCAGGAATCTGCATTTTGACAAAATTCCCCTTGTCATTCCCAGGAAAGGTCGGTTGAAAAACACTATCAGAATAAAAATTGGTAAAGTTTTGGAGGTGAAGGGAAAGCCTCAGGCAAGAATTATTGATCCAACATTTTCAGTTTATAGATGAGGAAAATGTATAGATAGAAATAGTAAATAACACCATGTTAAACATTGCAATAAATAAAAGTTTTAAGGCTGCCAATTTAATCTCACAACTTCATGAGGTAGGTATTATGACTAACTTAAATGAGCAAACAGGCATAAAAAACGAGGCCACATAACTTGCCAAGGTTGGATTCAGAACCAAGGACTTAAATTGCTTTACTTGCTCACTGCACTGAAGAAGGTAACCACATGTCCTGTCTGGCTAATCCATAAAATGGATTAGGGGAACAGATTATTTCCAAGTTTCTAATCAAAGTACAATCCTCTGGTTCTTTCCCCTATAGTAGCCATCTCCAGTCGGGTTCAAACAAAGATTTTACATCTTTCCAGAATGTAAGGAGCCATGTGTTACAGTGAGTTAAGCATCAGGCTACCAACTTGGTGATGGTTCAAAGTCATGAGTGGATTCAAGCCCACAAGTGCTTCTGAGAGAGGAGGCAGTCTGCTCTTAGAAAGGTACACAGAAACATAGGACAGGTCTAAGGAGTCATAGTTTTTTGGGATGTTGCTACAGTTTACATTTCCACCTTCTTGGGTGGATGTCTCTTGAGACAGCAGGTTGCTAAAACAAAAACCAAACCAGCAGCCCAGAGTAGGTAGAACTGTACTCATGAGGGCTGAATTTTCAGTATACTTTTCCCACCAGAACTTTTTGAGGTGCCTCTGGGTGGACTTGAACAGCAACTTTTGGTTAGCAGCCATATTCCCCTTTAAGCAGAAGTCCTCTGGAGTCCCAGAGCATTCACCTAGAGAGATCATTCTCCCTTGCTCGTTCTGTGTAAATATCCAGAGCTGGGGGCTCTGCTCAACACACCCTAACAGACATATAGCTGGCTGGTAGACTATTTAAAATCAGAACATCAACTCTTTTCAAAAGTACTTACTCCATCTATTTCATCTTCACAAACACATCCTCCAGGAAGGAGGAGAGATCCAGTTTCACAGAAGGATTCAAAGCACCACGGTCTCTTTAATGGCAGCCAGTGGACCAACAACAAAGGAACCAGGTTCTCCCAGCAAACTACACTAACCCACACACGGTATAGTCCATCCACACATGTCCACTGGAAGCCACAGTCAAGTGCATCTTAACTGGTTAAGACCTCAGGATCCCTGGGAGATCGTGATGGGGCATTGGAAGCCACTGTCTTGGGAGTAGTTAGAAAAGGAGAAGGTATGGATAGGTAGCGGTAAGTTGGACTATCCTCACTATTTATTTTTCATAAGGAAGTTGGAATAATCAAGTTATTGTTGCGTACCATCTAGCTTGACCCTCTGGCAGGTTTTCAGAGGACACTGTCCATCTTTTTCCCACAGTGGCTGATGGCCTCGAACCATGTGCCTTCAGGATTGCAGCACAGCTTCTTACCACTAGGCCACCAGAGCTCTTGATTATTGGCATGCACAATGTTTTTTAAAGAGATCATGGGACACACTTCACTGGCAAGACAAAGCTTCAATCCCTGACACTCATTCCCCTTCTTTATAATGAGAAAGTCTCAAACTGTAGCCTAGCACCTAGAGAAAGATTAGATGCAGATTTGTCTACAGAAAACTCTTAGAAACCAGATTAAAAAGCTTGTCAGTTTGTTTAGGGTCGGGGTCAGGCCTGGGGATAAGATTTTTCCTCTCTGATTTAGGAGAAATTGGGGTCTCAGGGCATCTAGAGAAGACTCCCTTCAGAAAACAAACTCAAGGATTTATTGTTTGCTCCTAGTCTAGTCAGCCAAGGATGCGTAGAAGAATGATAGGGTGGCGTATTTAGGAAAACTTGCCTCCTGTTGACTCCCTGACACTGGACAAAATCAAATTTCTCTGATGGCTCTTGGTCCCAGCTGCCCCAAGTACCGGAACTACCCCTTCTCTCGCCATTCCCCACCTCTGATGCCTTAACTGGGAGGACCGGTCAGTCACTGAGGCCGGGGGCCGGACTGTGATTCTTTGCGCCTCCTGGCCTCTCACCTCCCACCACTTTGGCGGGCACATTCGGTTTTGATCCTGCACCTGCCTACTCCAGCTCCCGATCTTCCCACCCTCGCCTGGCAGGGCCCGACACGGAGAGGCGCGTGCGGCGGAGCGACCATGGCTGTAGACTGTTACCTCCGGTTCCCACAGTAACAATCGAAAGCCACGGTTGCCCTGGAGACGCGGGGGCGGGGCGCGCTGCTGACGGCACCGCGGTACCTCCGGACAAGCTGACGTCAGGCGGCGAGGGTGGGCGGCGGGGGCGCGGGCGGCGCGCGCAGCGGGAACACGGGGCTGTGCTGGGGTGCGTGTGTTCTGGCCGCGCCTCGAAGCCCCTGGGGACCAAGCGCGCACCGCCCGGTGGCGCCTTCAGTGCTAGATCAGCACCGCGGACAGCGGCGGCACGAGCACGGGGTTGCGGGATCCTGGGGGAGAGAGGGAACCCGGGTGCGCGGCAGCCGAGTCAGCGGTCCTGGGGCAGGGCCAGGCGTCGGTGGCCGTGACTGGAGACTGTTACTGAGGGCGGCCCGGGAAGTAAGCAGTCTAGAGCCAAGGTGCCGGCACACTGCCCGGGCCGGGGTCCTCCCATCGCCCGCGGCTGGGGGCGCTGCTCCTCCCCCATCTCCCGCCCCTCTTGGCCCCAGTGTGAGTGAACAGGCACGTGGCCCCTGACGTCAGAGCCGTGTGACGTCAAAGCTGTCCCTGCGGGGAGTCACTTCCGGAGGGGGGAGCTGTCAGTGGGGGCGGGGCGGGGCGATCGGGCTGAGGCCCCGCCTGGTCCTGAGAGGACAGCTCCATGCGTAGAGGCGGGAAGTCGGGGGCGCAGCCGAACGAGGCATGACCCCAGGAGGGGGCGCCCTGACTGTGGGTGGGGGTTCAGCGAGAACAGTGGCCTGGCGGCCAGCAGGTGGGCGTCTGTCTCTCACTGGCGCCCCCACACAGCAGGCCGGGGGGGCAGTGAGGCTGAGTCACCGCGCTGTCGGGAGGGGGGCCGTCTTCTGGGGCACCTGGTACCCTCGTCCCACTTTCTTGGGAGAATGGCGCAGGAAGCCAGGGAATGAATGGCACGGGGACCCGTGGGCCCCTCTGCACGATGCTTCTCCTTAGTGGCTACGTCTCCGTCCCAGCGTGGGCAGGTGCTGACAGGGTCCTGTGTCGGCCTCGGCCTCAGGGTGGGGAGGGGTCCCGCCAGGCTGCATCCGGCCATCAATCCACGGGCTGCAAGAAGACCCCCGTCCCCTACCCCGACCCTCCCCCAGAGGGGACTCCCCCAAGTCCCTTGCCCGCCTCTCTCCGCCCTACCCTCCTGCTGGGGTCTGCGTGTCGGTCGGTCTGTCGTCGTCCATCGGCCCGGCAGCCCTGCTTACCTGGCGGCCGCGCCGCGCCCGCGCCCGCTCGCCTCCCGCAGCCCGGCCGGCGCGGCCGCTTTTATAGGCGCGCGTAGTACTCGTGCGGCGGCTCATTCATGCGGCCGCGGCTCCTACACACTGACGCGCTGCCGACGTCAGCAGGGAATTTAGGAAACGGGAAGAAGGGCTATTTATAGTTGCGAGGCGGGAGGGGGGGACCGAGGCGACGACGGGGAGCTCGTGGGGAGGAGGGCACGGAAGCAGCAGCGGGGAGGGGAAGCTTGTGCCCCTCGCCGGGGTCTACAAGGGGTTAACTTTCCGGAACTGCGGACGGGGGCGGGGGGATCGCGGAGGTAAAGCCAGCAGGGCGCGCCACTTTGTTTATTCACTCTCTGTTCTTCTGTTCCTGGAGCTTTGGGGCGCAGCACACCAACCCTGTCCGACCTTCCGGGGGTCCTCACTGGTCCACTCCCACGCCTGCGTTCCAGAGCTGGTGGCTCTGCTACGTCACACCTGTGGCGTCACACCCTGTGATCTCACTGTGGTGCTGTCACCCTAGTGTCCTGGGGGGCGATGGGGGAAAAGGAGTGGAAGGTGGACCTGAGAAGGGGCCCAGGGTGAAGTTGGGAGACGGTGTGTGAGGAGAGAGATAGTAGAGGAGCCCAGTGTGGTCTAAGGAAGCTGCACCTGTGAGGGGACAGGAGATACCCAGCCCGGGTCTAGGTACCAGCTAGAAGCTGATGATTGAGGAGAGAAATTGACAAGCGTAGATACAAAGAGGTCTCAGGGGGTGAAGGAGTTACAGTGCTCAGTGAGCAATGAAGGACAGAGTTCCTCTTGGGACTGGGGTGGGGTATGATGGTCCTGGGTCAGCCTAGCTCCAGCATTGAAAGGAGGTTTTAAAAGTGGAGGAGTATTTTGAGATAGACACAGAGACAAGAGGGAGAGGGAAACTGGACGGGGGTGTGGCGCGGGTTAGCAGTTTCTGGACAGGCCAGCCTAAGTGTATATTAGGTGGAAAGGAATGACCGAATGCTGAGGACGAGTGAGGTCTGCAGGTCCTGCAGGGGACCATGATGCAGCTGGCCTGCGGGCAGAGCTGTACGACTCAAGAAAAGACTGTGTGAGACAGTGCATTTACGTGGGGTGCATAGAACGCAGGAGAATGGTGAAGAACAAACACATGAGGACAGACCATCCCGGGGGGGGGGGGGTGCGTCCACAGTGGACAGACTACACTGTGCATAATGTCCCCGCGTGTGTGAGGGGCTCCTTGACAAGAAAAGAGTAAAGCTGACATGAATTAGAAAGGCCCGGTATGTTCTTTGAGAGCTGGCCACCAAGTGCCCATCTCTCGCCACTAGCCCTTGCCCCATAGTTCTCTTTTCCAGGAATACCCTTCTGCTAGTAGAACTCCTATTCATCCATTAAAGCCCAATTCTTTTTTTTTTTTTTTTTAAATTCAATTGTGATTTTAATGAACATTTACAGAGAAGTTAGATTTTCATGCTTCATTGTTGCACTAAAGCCCAATTCTAAGAGCACTTATTCGGAGAAACTTTCCCACTTCCCTCCAACACTCTTTGTTCACCTAGCTCACTCCTTGTGAGGCAACTCCTTGAAGACTGAGCTTCCTCGGTCCGCTTATCTGAGTTTTCTGCTCTTCTAGAGCCTGGGAGGTTTGGAACCTATTCTTTTCATACTCTGGATCTCACTACTTCCCAGCTGAGATCATCATGGAAAGATGGAGGAAAGGACAGGAATAAGTTCGACCCGCAACCCGGGAAGGGGACAGGTGAGGGGTGGGCCCGTAGGCACTGAAGCCGGGAGCCACCTGCGCGAGGAAGGGAGCCTCTGGGGGGCGCCCGAGACCTCGCTGTGTGTCGGAAACGGCGAGCGTCTGCGCCAGAGGCCCGGAGCTAGGTGACTCAGCCACCATGCTGGCGGGGGTCTGGGGGCCGCGGCCGAGGACTGTGTTGGGGTGGCAAGCGTGGCCCCCGCCCGCCCAGCTGCCCAGCGCGGTTGCTAAGCTCTTCAAGGCCTCGGAGAGACGCGATCTGGGCGAATCTCATCGGTTTCTATGGTAACGCTGCGCCCCAGACTCTCAAGCTGGGGGAGGAGCAGCCAATCACAAGCTGCAGGCGTTATCGGGACCCCCCCCTCGTGTGTGGGCAGGGGTCAGGAGGTGCGGGGAGTGGGCGGAGTGTGGGGCCGCTGAGACGCAGCGCCCCAAACAGGCCAGATACAGCGGCGGGGCCGCGCGGGGACACTTCCGGGGTGCGGGGCGCCCTACCTCCCAGAGGGGGCGTCACCCGCCCGATCCCGGCTTCCGCGCGTGGCGCAGGACCTTAGGCCCTCCTGTCACGTTCCTCTAGGGTTAATGGGTTGGAAAAGAGGTTCCAAACGGAGTCCCTCAAAATGGCTCATGCGAGAATCTGGGGGACAGCGATTGCTCCTAAAGGAGCGCAAGAGACACACATTGTCCCCTCATTCCCAGCTGAGTACCCTGGGGCTCCCACCAATTTAACGCCTGTTGTTGGGATATCAGCGCTGCAGGGGTCCACCGCGGTCCCCATCCCTCCGCAGCCATCCCGGCAGCATTTCAGAGAGCAGGTGCCTGGAAGGGGGCAGGTGGGTGTCTGCGAGCATGCCCGCTCCTCAGGGTCCATATCTGAGAGGGTCTAGGTGCTGTGGATGGGTTTACGCTGCGCATTTCTAAGCCATGTGGCTGGGTCTGTGGGGGAGGGAGGGCCAAGTAGCGTCTCTTCCACGAATTTATACATTTGTGTCCACCAGAGATTTAAAGTTTTATTTTGTAACCTCCCACCACCAGAGTGCTCTTTTGGGGGGCAGACAGGACTTTCCCAAATGGGGACCTTATGCAAATGCAGAACTAGGTATATAGGAAAGATGTACCCAAACCAGCTCAAAACCCTGGGGTTTGTGAACCTCGTAGAGCCAGGGCCCGTGTCCCCCACGTGAGCAGGGAGGGTGGACTTGCAGGTAGGCCCCCTCCCCGCACAGCTCCGCATCGGTGAGCGGGCCCAGGTGAGCGGGAGGACGCTCTGGGCTGTGCTGCGCTGCGCCCCGCGTGGCCGCTAGGTGGCGCCATGGCCGCAGCAGCGCCGGCCCGCTCGGGCCGCTCCAGATAAGAGTGTGCGGAAAGCGCAGCGGGGCTGAGACGCGACCAGGACGCGGGGAGGACGGACCAGCAGGACAGACCGACCGGGGGCCCGGCGGGCGGAGCGCAACGCAGCGCAGCCACGTCCCCCCTGGATCCGCCGGCAGCCGGGCCCGGGGCTTCAGACATGCCCCCCAGGTAGGTTCCTGGGTTGGGGTCCGGGCGGGACAGCGGACCCGGGACAGGCTGGTCCCAAGGCGCTGGCCGCCTCGGGCGCATCATCTGGTGCGGACGTCCCATCGCGGCTGGCGTTCTGGGCCAGAACGTCGCCCCCAGAGGACTCAGGACCGCGGGGTCGCTGCTCCGCGCCGGGTTCACGGCGGGGTCAGCGGCCCGCCGGCTCTGCCCGCACATGGGCTGCAGAGGCGAGGGGACGGAAAGGGGAGCGGGCGGGCGGGGCTGGCAGGGGCGCTGCCCTGGCACAGCTCGGCGCCTGGCAGCGGGGCGGGTGGGGCACCCACGGGGAGCTGCCACCGCCGCGGGGAGGAAAGCCCAGCTGCGACCGCAGGTAACGGGCCTCCAGGCTCCGCGGGCCAGGCGGGGAAGCAGGGGCGGGTGGCCCGGCGGAGGAGCTCAAGGCTGGGCTCGGGCCGCGCGGCCAAGGGCGGCTGCTGGAGTTGGGGGCCGAAAGGAAAAGCCGGGAGCCGAGGGACTGGGACCGGCGGGCTCCTCCCGCCCTGTCTGAAGTTGGGAAACTTTTCCCCAAGTTTGGGGCGGTGGAGTTCCCGAGGAGAAGGGGGCCGAGGGGAGTTGGGGAGGGAGGGAGGCTCCGGCCGCAGATGCAGCGCCCAGGCCGAGGCCGGGATGCGGGTGGGGCGCAGGCCGGGGTCAGGGCCGCAGCCGGCTGTGCGCCGTGCCCGCCCGGGGCGCTGCCCCCTCCCTCCCCTGGGAGCTGCGTGGCTCCCCCCTCCCCCCCACCTGCTTCCTGCCTCAGCCTCCTGCCCCGATATAACGCCCTCCCCGCGCCTGGGCCCGGCCTTCGCGCTCTGCCCGCCACGGCAGCCGCTGCCTCCGCTCCCCGCGCCCGGCCGCTGCCCCGGCCCCTCCAGGGCCTGACAGCCCCGGGTCAGGTTGGTGTCCCCGTGCCTACGGTGCTCCCCTCCTCTGGATCAAGTCCCCCAGCTGGGGCATCTTCTCCCGAGGCGGGAGGCGCTTCCTACTCTCTCCCCACTTTGGGCAAACTTCTCGGCCCTGAATGACTTTTCCTGAAGCGGACATTTTCCTTAAAGTGGGTAACTGTCTCTGCAAAGGGTCACTTCGCCCCCAACAGTTTTCTCCTCGGACCCTATCCAGCTCGCGTGTGGTGTCTGGGCCTGGGGCCCGCCGGCCGGCCTGGCCTCTCCTCAAGCCGGGGCCGCTTCTTTTGCTGGCTCAGCCGACAGGCCCAGGTTCCCACTGGCCGAGGCTGCCGATCGTCCACCAGCGCCCAAGCTGCAGTGCTCGAAGCCCCTGGGCAGCCGAAGGGAAGGGGAAGTGCAGGGGAGACTGGCCAGCAGGGTAGCAGCGGCCAGGGTGCAGCCCAGCTCTGACCCGGCTGCTGTGTGTCCCCTCAGGAGAGTGTGCTGGGCAGACGATGCTGGACACGATGGAAGCGCCGGGCCACTCGAGGCAGCTGCTACTGCAGCTCAACAACCAGCGCACCAAAGGCTTCTTGTGCGACGTGATCATCGTGGTGCAGAACGCCCTCTTCCGCGCGCACAAGAACGTGCTGGCGGCCAGCAGCGCCTACCTCAAGTCCCTGGTGGTGCACGACAACCTGCTCAACCTGGACCATGACATGGTGAGCCCGGCCGTATTCCGCCTGGTGCTGGACTTTATCTACACCGGCCGCCTGGCCGATGGCGAGGAGGCGGCGGCTGCAGTGGCCCCGGGGACTGAGCCGAGCCTGGGCGCCGTGCTGGCCGCGGCCAGCTACCTGCAGATCCCCGACCTCGTGGCGCTGTGTAAAAAGCGCCTCAAGCGCCACGGCAAGTACTGCCACCTGCGGGGCGGCGGTGGCGGTGGCGGTGGGTACGCGCCCTATGGGCGGCCCGGCCGGGGCCTGCGTGCCACCACGCCCGTCATCCAGGCCTGCTACTCATCCCCCGCTGGGCCGCCACCACCGCCGCAGGCCGAGCCGCCGCCGGGCTCCGAGGTCGCTGTGAACACGCACTGCGCCGAGCTGTACGCCTCGGGTCCCGGCCCGGCCGCCGCCCTCTGCGCCCCCGAGCGCCGCTGCTCCCCGCTCTGCGGCCTGGACCTGTCCAAGAAGAGTCCGCCGGGCTCCACGGTGCCCGAGCGACCCCCGGGAGAGCGTGAGCTGCCTTCGCGGCCCGACAGCCCGCCGGGCGCCGGCCCCGCCGCCTACAAGGAGCCGCCCCTCTCGCTGCCGCCGCTGCCGCCGCTGCCCTTCCAGAAGCTCGAGGAGGCCGTGGCGCCGCCGGACCCGTTTCGGGGCGGCAGCGGCAGCCCGGGCCCCGAGCCGCCTCCCGGGCGCCCCGACGGGCCCAGCCTCCTGTACCGCTGGATGAAGCATGAGCCGGGCCTGGGCAGCTACGGCGACGAGCTGGTCCGGGACCGGGGCTCCCCGGGCGAGCGCTGCGAGGAGCGCGGAGGTGACGGGGCCATCTCGCCCGGGGGTCCCCCGCTCGGCCTGACCCTGGCGCCAGCGCCACGTTACGCCGGAAGCCTGGATGGGCCGGGCGCAGGCGGTGACGGCGACGACTACAAGAGCAGCAGCGAGGAGACGGGCAGCAGCGAGGACCCCAGTCCACCTGGGGGCCACCTCGAAGGCTACCCCTGCCCACACCTGGCCTATGGCGAGCCAGAGAGTTTCGGTGACAACCTGTACGTGTGCATTCCCTGTGGCAAGGGCTTCCCCAGCTCGGAGCAGCTCAACGCGCACGTGGAGGCACACGTGGAGGAGGAGGAGGCACTGTACGGCCGGGCTGAGGCGGCGGAGGTGGCCGCGGGGGCTGCGGGCCTGGGGCCCCCTTTTGGCAGCGGTGGGGACAAGGTCCCTGGGACTCCAGGAGGCCTAGGGGAGCTACTGCGGCCCTACCGCTGTGCATCGTGCGACAAGAGTTACAAGGATCCGGCCACGTTGCGGCAGCACGAGAAGACGCACTGGCTGACCCGGCCCTATCCGTGCACTATCTGCGGGAAGAAGTTCACGCAGCGCGGGACCATGACACGCCACATGCGCAGCCACCTGGGCCTCAAGCCTTTCGCATGCGACGCGTGTGGCATGCGCTTCACGCGTCAGTACCGCCTCACCGAGCACATGCGCATCCACTCTGGAGAGAAGCCTTACGAGTGCCAAGTGTGCGGTGGCAAGTTTGCGCAGCAACGCAACCTCATCAGCCACATGAAGATGCACGCCGTGGGGGGTGCAGCAGGCGCAGCTGGGGCGCTGGCGGGCCTGGGGGCGCTTCCCGGCGTCCCGGGTCCTGATGGCAAGGGCAAACTCGACTTTCCCGAGGGCGTCTTTGCGGTGGCTCGCCTCACTGCTGAACAGCTGAGCCTGAAGCAGCAGGACAAGGCGGCCGCCGCCGAGCTGTTGGCGCAGACCACGCACTTCCTGCACGACCCCAAGGTGGCGCTCGAGAGCCTCTACCCGCTGGCCAAGTTCACGGCGGAGCTGGGCCTCAGCCCGGACAAGGCTGCGGAGGTGCTGAGCCAGGGCGCGCACCTGGCCGCCGGGCCTGACGGCCGGACCATCGACCGGTTCTCTCCCACCTAGAGCGCCTTGCACCAGCCAGCATGTCGCTTGCTGTACCTCCCTCAGGGAGTGACAGCAACAGCACAGCGCCGAGCAGGTTCACTGTGCCCCAGACAGCTGTGGAATCAGCCTCACTGCTTTGTGCCTTAGCCTGGGGTAGGGGTGGGGAAAAGACCCCAGGACGGTAGCGGGATGGGGGGAGGGAGATTTATATTTTTGATATCAGCTTTGACCAAAGGAGACCCCCAGCCCCTCAGCACCTCTTCCTGTGGCTCATGGGTCTCTCCCGAGGCTTTGTGCTGCTCTTGGGGGAGTGTCACTGTTGGGGGGCTCCCAGCCCTACCTCCAGCCCTGCGACCACACCTATTCTCACTGTGAATCTCCCCGCTGGGGTCTGAGCGCGTTGGGCGGAGTTGGGGAGCTGGGAGGGGACTGAGCCGGCCAGAGGGCCCCCCGCCCTCGCTCCCACCTGCCCCGGGACTGATAATGTGAAGTTCCTCATTTTGCACAAGTGGCACTAGCCCCAGGGCCAAACTTTTCTTCCCTGACCACTATGGGCAGGGAGTTCTGGAGCCAGAGGGCTGCGACAGCCCGACAGCCCGGAGTACCCAGGCTCCCACTCCCACGGCGCCCTTTCCCTGGGGCCCCGGACCATATTTATTGCATGCACCCCGGCGGCCCCATCCCGAGCCCAGGCTGGGCTGGGCTGGAATGCGGTCTCTTTAGTTCCCTTGTCCTCTCTCCTTTTGATTTGTATTATTTTCTACCTTGTACACAGGCTCTTCTAGAGCCGCTTCCATTTTCTATACTCGAACCAAACAGCAATAAAGCAATAACCAAGGACCACAGATGCTGCTGGCTCACATATGCCTCTGTACAAGGGCCTGGGTGCCTGGCACCAGGGTGGGCGGACGGGTCTTAAAAGGACTGCCCTCACAGGTGCAAAGTTTTGTGTCTTCCTCTCCTCCCCAGTCCCAGGGACAAATCAGCAAGAGTAGGGTATGTTTCATAACTAAAAATTTATTAAGGAAACAAAACCAGTGCTGCAAACAGGACAGAAAGAAAAGACAGGTCTCCCACCCACCAGGTCATTGGCCTTCATTTAGGGAAGAAGATTTCAGAGGAGAGGCAGGTACCCCAAAGAGTGCAGTCTTCTCAGGCCTTGAGGAACTTGTATCCCAAACTGTTGGCCCTGGCTTTCCTGAACAGTCTCTCTCCTGGCATAGTCACAGGGCTCCAAGAGGGCACACCTTGCTCCCATGCTCTGGGTAGGCTGGAGAGGCAGATAGGCTCTGCGATTCCCACATTGGCCGCATCAGTTTCCTTGTGGCTCCTTAAAACCCTTTTAGCCCTGCCCCTGGCTTGGAAGAACTCATTGGTAGTGAAAGCCTGAATAAGACCTTGAGCTTGGGTACCAGCTAACCACACAAATCAAACCTCCAAAGGGCCCTGTGTCAGTTCTTCTGGTAAGTCATGGGCTAACTGGAAAAAAGGCAAAGCAATGCTCCTGCAGGCACTGGACCATCCTACCCTCAGACTAGGCTGCAGAAGGGTAAAAGTTTCTGAGCACACAGGTCTGGGAGGGGATGATCGGGGAAGTAAGTTTTACGATTTCCTGCAGTGGGTACCAGAAGTAGCAGCTTCAGAATAAGACCAACATGACTAGGAACTGAGGTAAGGAAATTGGGACCAGGAAGGTACAAGGGACCAACCAGTCCTGCGAGGGGTGAGGGAGGTGATTTAGGAGGCAGGAGGGACCAAGATAACTGAGAAAAGTGAGGCAAGAACTATAACAAAAGGTCAAGATTGAAGGAGCACGTGAAGGCCACGGGGGAAGTATGGGGAAGAGAGCAGACATCTCTTCCTTCTAGGTCCATGACCACCCAAGGGGCAAAGCACAAGTGACCCAGAATAGAAAGGCAGGAAGAAGGGCAGGACAGGTGTGTGAAAGGTAGGGGGATGAGGGACTGAACCCAACATGGGCCCTGGGCGAATCCTGGCCCCAGGGAGATGAGACACACCCTGGGCACTCTGTGTATGGCATAGCCAAAGCCTCTGAACACAGACTTAGGGGAGGCTTCTGAAGGAGACTGCAGGGTCCTGTGATATCACCTGCATCTGACAGAAACTCTCAACCCTCTGCCCCATCTCTAACTTAGAAAGCGGCCGAGTCTTCAGAGCGGGAAAGCCCTCCCCCAGCTCTTGAACTATACAGGGGGAGGAAAAAGGCTGAGAGTGCGGTGGACCCTCTGGCTCGCCCACCCACTGTCACTGCACTAGCCACCTCCCTGGTAAGTCTTGGCAGCCCAGGAGGGTCCCAGCAGCTTCCGCCTGACCCTTGGGAAGGGCTCTGTGAGGAGCAGCTCTGCCACAGCACGGCCACGGCTGGGTTGGAAGAGGATGGTTTATTGTCTAGGTGGATTGGTGGCTCAAGCACGTGGGCATCTTCCGTGCTACACTGGGGGCGCCTGGCGGCCTTTCAGGAACGGTTCCACGGGGGTAGGCCCCAGAGCAGACCCCTCAGCCCACCTGGGCCCACGTGAGGAAGGCCGGGATGTCCCGCACAGGCACATTTCTGGTCAGCGCCTTCACACGGAGGTTCCGGTCATCTGTCAACAGCACCACCTCCCTCAGTAGCCGGATTGGCTCCTCTGGGGGTACAAGAGAGAAGGACTTCAGTGAGGGGGGAGGCACTGGCTATTGCCTCACTGGCTGCAGGACACTGTGATCTTGGTGACTGAGCAGTCAGTCAGGTCATTTCTTGGCTTTCAGGAAGCCCTTTTCCTCAATCAGGCTTTCAACTTGAGGTGACTCTCCCTGACTGTCTGAGATGGCCATACTGGGCTAGGGCAGGGCTTCTGCTCCAGGGGCTGCCCAAGCCCACCTGGACTCGGCAGACCCACCTCTGAAGGGAGACTCTGAAGGGAGAAATCAGAAGCAGCGCCTTTGCTTCTCGTCCCTCCGGCAACTCTCCACACTCTTCTGCATACCCTCCCTCGATTGTCAGCAGGTCTAGGCTTTAGTCATCAAGAGTAAGAAACTAAAGATGGAATAGGAAGTATAGCCGGGTTCTCAGATGTGGGGGCAGGGGAGGAGGTGCAGGACCCCAGGCAGAGCAACTGTGTCTGGGAGGCCCTGAGGCCGTGGGCAACACAACAATTTCCTCTATTAAAGCAATCATGTATGTGGTGAAGGATCTAACGGTGCACAGGAGTAAAAAAGAAAGTCAGTTCATCCTCCCCAAATTCTCCCTTCGTATGGCTCTTGCACCCCAGATTTATATTCTTTCAGATATCTTTGTGCACATTCACAAGGATATATACTTTTAAGTATAAACTTTCCCCCCATAGAGCACTGGGATTATATTAGCTAAACTTATACTCAAACAAGAAATTTTAAAGATCTTTCTACATAATCATGAACTGGTATCCTCCATTCTTTTTGGATGACTTTTTTGGATTCTCTTCCTCTGCCTTTCTTGACCTAGTTCCCTAACCCTCTGATATATCTGAAAGAATTTAGGTTGAAGTCAAGTCCTCACATAAGTGACACCCCTCCCCTGGCAAGCCCACTGGGTGGTAGGATCACTCCTTAACCCCAGGCTGGCTGGTTCCTGATGGAGGTCCTGGCTGTCAGCAAGGAACAGGAACTGTCCTGCCGTGCGCACTGGCTACGTGGGCTGGGGGACTACAAACATCCACAGCCATGTCTGCTCTGAGCGGTTCTAGTTGTGCCAGCTCCAGGCAGGGAGGCTGAAAATTGGCTGTCAGCCTCAGGAGGGAGAGTTCACAGTGCTGACCGTAGTGAGAGGTGTTGGGGGGAGGTGGGTGTGATGGGAAGAGGTGAGGTACTGAAGGGATAGAAAGGTGGCCATAGATAAAGAGGCTGTTCTGAGACCCTCAGGGGTTCAGGGTGGGGAGAGGGTGCACCCTGAGACCTGGACTCCTAGCCTTGCTGAATCTGAGTGCAGCCTCTCCAGTCCTGCCGTGGGACTCAGCCCAGGCAAGCCTCAGGCCTTAGGTCAGCCAACCAAGGCCCTGTGCTGCTGGCAGGGGTCTGCAGGGGTTTTTGTGGATACTTTGAGACATTTTTAACAATAAACATCCTCTGTTTTGACACTGGTAACTTCACTTTGTTAGAAACCAGAGACTGTCATCTTGTCAGGCCCCATCCGCCATAATCCACATGATTTTAAAATTCAACATCGTTTACACATAAACATTTGGTGACGGTTTCTCTGTGAATCTGACAAGTTAATCTGCTAAGAATTCACACTGACAAACGGGGTTTGATTACACCAGCCGTTGCTGATGTAATTCTGATAGGGGTGGTCCCAGGATGGCAATAGGTTCCTGTAGGCTGTTCGGGGTGAAATGGGGGTGGGGCAATTAGTAGGGTCAAAGCCAAAACTTGTCTCTGCTCAGAAAGAAACCGCTGGGGTGGGGCCACAGCAGCGTCCTGACTGTACTTCCCAACAAGGCCTTCTGCAATCCTGCCCACCTCCCCTTTAGAGGGGGCTGCTCTGGGCAGCTAGTGGGCACAGCGCTGTTCAACCACCCGACTGCTTCAGGTCTGACTCTAAGGCACTGGACATACGAGCTGTGCGACTTTTCTCTTCCCAGGTTCTGTGCATGGTTACAACCATCACTCTTCTAAGTCTGGGATATTAGCCACATTTACTTTACTCAAACTATTTTTCTCAAAGATCTTCTACATCAGCACAAATTGCTATCCTCCCTTCTTTTAAAATTTTTTTATTTTTATCTTTTTTATTGTGTGTGTGTGCGTGTGTGTGTGTGTGTGTGTGTGTGTGTGTGTGTGAGTACTGTCAAATCAGATTTGACTGGTACAGGAGGAGATTGTTCCTCCTTTTCCAGCAAAGCATCTGGTGGATTTGAACCGCACACATCTGGGATTGCAGTGCAGCGTCTTGCCACTAGGCCACCAGAGCTCGCCTAAAATAATTTTTTTTGTATAATCGTTTATCCTATCTTTATTTTCTTAGCTCTCTAACTCTTTAGTGTACTCGGAGGCTGGGCATGGTGGAACCCTCTGAAGAGCAGTCATGGGGCTCCTTAAGAGGCCCTGATTTAGAGGCCTAGGCAGTGTGAGGGGCTGTACTACTGTGAGAGAGAAAAACACCTAAAGCTAGGAAAATGAACAGAAAAGAGAAATAGGTGACAATGAATGAAAGATAAAATGACAAGACTATACACATAAGCAGCCAGAAGTCAAATGGTGAGAATGCTGAGCTCTGTAGAGGACACTCTGTCAGGAGGTCTTAAGTTCTTTCACAGGAAGAAATGTCAGAATCCTGGGAACTGAAAGTAGCCACCACCTGAATGTCAGTAAGGCCGTGGGGCTCTGCAGGAAGGAAGGTCTGCGGTAGAGGATGAGGTGGTCAGGCAGCCCATGTGGAAGAGAGCCCCAGTGTGGGCCTCTGACCCAAAGACAGAATTCTGCTGACTAAAAAGCAGGTCTTGTAAACAGAGCTGAGGGCTCAGTCTCTACTCTTACCTTACTAACTCTAACTCCAGCTAACCAGTAAAGTATTTGGTTCATGAAGTAAAGACTAGGAAGAAAATGTCCATTACTCACTGGGGGTGTACTTCTGCCTTGGATTTGAATACAGAGTCAACACCCAGGGATGACTTGAGAGGGCCAGCCAACCATGGCTGGAGATGCTACATGAATCATAGGGTTGTTGGAGAAAATTCACTGAGGGCCAGGGAGGACCAGGCATGAGATGGGCATGATTGCTGCTGGAGCCTGGCTGCCTGCACGGACTCATGCCTACATGGCCTGAGGAACACCTGATGTTCCTTGAGGGAGAGGAGCTGTGA